CCAAGCTGGTGGGTGTTTTTGAGAACCTCTAACCTTCTGACCTCCAACCAGAATACATACCTGAGACCCACCTGCCCCAACATGTGCATGTGTATGTCTGTGTGAGTGCCTGCCACCTGTGTGAGTACCTGCAGAAGTTGGAGCCACAGGAGGTAGTGATGCCTGATGTGAGTGCTGGGAACCCAACCTGGGAGCACTGGAATAGCAGCAAGTGCTCCCAACCGCTGAGCCACTTCTCCAGCCTCCCCTCATCCCATCTCTTAGGGACCGAGCTGTGCCCCTTCCCAGTTCCTTCATAGAAGCCCGAAGCTTCAATGAGACTACACTGGAACTGGATCCTATAAGGAGGTAATTAAGGTTCAATGAGGTTAGGTAGCGGGGGGAGACCAATTCTTTATGACTGGTTTATTTACAAGGTATAGGGAGGGGCAGGGGCAGTAGGAGCAGGCTCACTGTGAGCCAGGAGGAGCCGTGAGCAGAAATGGATCTCACTGGTGCCTTGGTCTTGGCCTTCTAGCCTCTAGACCATTGATAAAAATGAATTTCTGGAGTCAGCCATGGTGGCATATGCCCATCGTCCCAGCACTGGGGAGGCTGAAGTAGGAGGACTGAGTTTGAGATCAGTCTTGTTTCCAAAATTAAGAAAGAGGGTTGGGGACGCATGTGGCTTCACTGGTAGAGCACGTGCCTAGCATGCAGGAAGCCCTGCGTTCCATCCCCAGCACCACATAAACTGAGCATGGTAGTAAATGTCCCTCTCATCTGAAGTGCAAGCTCGGTTTCTGATACATGAGTCTATCTCAAAAAAAAAAAAAAAATCTGATGTTTAACCCACCTAGCCCTGGTATTTTGTTATGGCAGCCAATAGTTTTTATGTAAGCAACAATACTGACCCAAACACTGATGATTTAAGAGCGCCTGCCATGTGCCAGGCACAGACCCCGCACCTGGTGGCTCTGTTGCTTGCTGTCCCCATGTCACAGAAGAGGTAGTGCAGAAAGATCAGATACTGCCTGACTGTCACGCTCTGTAAGGGGCAGGGTCATATCTGTCCCCTTCTACCTTTTGAAGCACTGGGGATGAAATCCAGGGCAAGCACTACCATATGCTTGGCCACTGAGCTGCACCCCAGTACCCCTCTTCAACTCATAGCCATCTTCCTGACCCTTTCCTAAGTGACAGTATCACAAACCTGGACTACCTTACTTGGCACCTCCTTCCCCATTAAAAATTTTAAAAAATATTTTTGTAGCCAGGCATGGTGGTACTCACCTTTAATCCCAGCACTTGGGAGGCAGAGGCAGGCGGATCTCTGTGAGTTCAAGGCCAGCCTGGTCTACACAGTGGGTTCTTGGACAGCTGGGGGCTACAGGGAGACCCTGTCTCAAAAAGAAAAAAATATTTTTTTGTTGTTTATTTTTATGTGTATGAGTGTTCTGCCTGCATGCATGTAAGTGCACACATGCATGCAATGCTCACATAGGCCAGAAGAGGGCACTGGGTCCCCTGTAACTATAGTCTTGGACTGCTATTAGCTACCATGTACATGTGGGTGCTGGGAACAAAACCCATGTCCTCCGCAAGAGCAGCAACTGCTTGGCAGTCTGTCCAGTCCCATCTCACCATTCCTCAATTGAGAAAACAAGGAGTCAGTATTGACATTTCCTTCAGATCTCTTTCCACGCAGGAACTCTTGTTATTCCCAAACTCACCTGCAGGAACTCTTCTGTGGTCAAGTTCTTTCTCTCCACTCCATAAGGAAAGCCCAGAGACTGGTAAGCCCCCAGTGTTCCCATCCTTGGCTCTGCTTTGTGAAAACATGGCTCTGCTTCACACACACGTGGCTCACTTCAAACAGGAAGTGTCAGAAGTCTGTCCGGTATTTCATAAACCCAAGCTTGGTGAAGGAGATAATGAAGATGGTTGGAATAGAAGGGAAATGCCAAGCTGAGGGGAAGAGGTTACATTACTTTATCTTACTTGTTTTGTTTGCTTGTTTTCAGACAGGGTCTCCCCGTAGCATCAGCTGACCTGGAACTCACTATGTAGACCAGGCTGGCTTTGAACTCACAGAAATCCACCTGCCTCTGCCTCCTGAGTGCTGGGATTAAAGGCTTGTGCCTGTGTGTGTGTATCTGTGTGGAGGTCAGGGGATAGCTTGCAAAAGTCAGCTCTCTCCTTCCACCATGTATCTAAGGACCACCATGGGTCCTCAGATCGAAATGGGCTCACCAAGCTAGGCAGAAAGCAGCTTTACTCTACTGAGCCACTGTTGTCAGAGACCCTGTCTTAAACAAATCAACAATCTCCCCCCTGCAAAAAAAAAAAAAAATCAAAACAGTAACAACAAACAACAACAACAACAATAAAAACAACAACAGAAAACATTCCAGAGCTTAGAAGGTAGAAGCAGGTGGATCTCTGAGGTAGCTGTGAGTCTTGGGCACATAGTGAGACCTTGTCTCAAAAACAAAACTAAAAGCCAGATGTGGTGACACTCCCTTTAATCCCAGCACTCAGGAAGCAGAGGCAGGCGGATTTCTGTGAGCTCTAGGCCAACCTGGTCTATATAGTGAGTTTCAAAAACTGAAGTTGGAGAGATGGCTCAGCAGTTAAGAGTACTGGCTACTCTTGCAGAGGACCCAGGTTCAGTTCCCAGCACCCACATGGTGGTTAACAACTGTCCTTAACTCCAGTTCCAGGGGATCCAACACTACCCACTTCTGACCTCCATGGGCATTGCATGACATGGGTGCGCTTACATACATACAGACAATACACTCATACACATAAAAATAATATTTTTAAAAATTCAAAAAACCAAAACAAATCAAAAAACAAAACAAAGCAAATCCCACAAACAAAAACAAAACTAGGCAAATCAAACTCCTGATGACTGGTTAAGTTCACCTGGGTGTCTGACACCCAAAGACTAGTTAACTGATGCTCACTGTGGTGTACTTTGTAGCTTTTTTCTAAACATAGGCCCTCCCTATGTAGCCCAGGCTAGACTCTGAATTTGCTGTCTTCTTGCCTCAGTCTCCCCAGCGTTGAGATGAGTGTGCAATCATGCTCAGTGGATTTGCCATTATTAAGGGTACTACTGTATAGCTGGGTAGAAAGGTACGTGCATGCATTGCCACACACAGGAGGTAAAGGCAAGATGATGCTGGAAACTAGTCCACTTAGAAATTTATTACATTTTGTGGCACTAGGATAGAACATAGGGTCTTGCATTTGCTAGGCAGGTGCTCTACCCTGAGTCATGCCCCAGCCCCTCACTAGGGGATCCTAGGTAGGGACTCTACACTGAGCCACACCCCCAGCCCCTCACTGGAGGATTCTAGGCAGGGGCTCTACCTCTGAATCATGCCCCCACCTCCTTACTGGGGGATTCTAGGCAGGAGCTCTATGTCTGAGCTATGCCCCCAGTCCCTCACTGGGGGAGTCTAGATTCTACCTCTGAGCTATACCACAGCCATGAAAAGTTTCTGAAAATCTTTCTAAGCAGACACATCTAAGGGGCCTGGGGATATTACTCAGTGGCAGAGCAAGCATAAGAGGCACTGGGTTCCTTCCCTAGAACCACAATAAAGGAAGGGACAGAGCAATTGTGTGTTTCCATTTTCCACACGTACATCAGCTGGAAACACTGCTCATCAGACCTAACAATGAGATAATAGTTCCAGGAGAAAAGTACTACGATTGACTCCAAACCCAGTGACAGCCCCTTTAACACACAGTTCCTCACCAAAATAAGCAGAGGGAGGAATCACCCAACACACTGGTGTGTATCTAACAAGAAAGCACGCCATCAGACTCGAACAGGAATCATTCCCTTTCTGCATACTCCTAGCATAGCAGGGGAGAAAAATGGTCAAGCTTGGTGGTGCACACTTATGATCCAGCCCTGGGGAGGCTGAGGCTGGGGGATGGTGAGTTCCAAGCCATCATGGACTGCACAGTGAGTCAGTCTCAAAGACCAGAAGAAGAGCTGGGTGTGCTAGCACACATATGTCATCTGTGTACACAGGGTGGGGGCAGGAGGATTTGGAGTTCAATGTCATCCTTGGCCACACAGTGAGTTTGACGCTAGCCTGAGCTACATAAGACCCTATCTCAAAAAAAAAAAAAATTCAAAAATGGAAGAGTATAAACACAAGTTCCTTCTCAGACATGAGTATTAAATCCCAGGTCAGTGAGCTACAAAAGCCTCAGACCAACCTCTTTCTCACTCTAGGTTTAGCTACAAGTCAGAATTTTAAATATCTCAGCAGGGCTGGCGAGAAAGCTCAGTAGGTAAAAGCACTTGTCAAGCATGACAACCTGAGTTCAATTCCTGGGACCCACATAAAGATGAAAGGAGAGAACAGATTGTACAAAGTGGTCCTGTGACCTCCACGTGTGTGTGGCACACACTCCACACATATCATACACACATACGTACTTGTTAAAAATATTTTTTTGTTTGATTTAAGGTCTTACCATGAAGCCCTAGCTGGTCTGGAATTCCCCATGTAGACCAGGCTGGCCTGGAACTCAGAGTTCTACCTGCCTCTGCATCCCAAGTGCTGGGATTATAGGCTTGTGCCACCATGCTCAGCTAAAATATTTTTTCTTTTTTTTTTGGTCTTTTTGAGACAGGGTCTCCCTGTAGCCCCAGCTGTCCTGGAACTCACTATGTAGACTTTGAACTCACAGAGATCCACCTGCCTCTGCCTCCCAAGTGCTGGGATCAAAGCTATCTGCCACCATGCCCAGCTGAATATTTTTTCTTAACAAATAAAATCTAAAAACACCCCAATCCCCACAGCAAAGCAGCAAGTTTAGGATTCAAAAGCTAACCACAGCCTTTCATTTCTGCACCCAAGCCGCCTCCGGACTAAGCACTGTCTGTCCTACATTTCAACCTTGAACTCACCTCGAGACAGACCCAAAACATAGACCTCAGAGCACACTGCCCACACCACAAGCAGTAAGTCACCACTACCAAGCAGGTATTCAAGAGATGGTCCCCAAAGTCACTTTATTTCACAAAGGGCTTCTGAAAGCAAAGCAGGGTGGTTCCTAATACTTCAGTCTCCACCACCAACTCCTCCTGCCTCTTCTGGGAAACCCTAACATGTCCCCCAGAGCTGTTCCATTTCTTATTTACAGCTTAGTGTCTAAACAGGAGGCTGGTATCCCAGGGACAGAGGAGTTGTTCCTTTACATCCTGGGAGGGTGACTTCTGCTGCAGCAGGCACCCACTGCGACAGGGGTAAGGGAGCAATCTGGTAGCAACACCTGGAGCTGGCCCCAGAATTGCTACTGGATCTACCAACACCACAGAACTGGCTGAGCAGAAAAGGCCGCTCTAAACATCAAAGCCAACCCTCCAGTTCCAATTCCTGTATTAACATGATTAAGAAAAATAATCCATATGAAATTAACCAAAAAGACCTTGAACATAAGTCAACCAAGAAAGATCCAAAATCGTGTTTCTTACGAAAGGCTGGGCAAAAGGCAGATGCTAGTACAATGGAAAGATCTAGATATGTTCCTTTCTCCTAAGGGACTGTGACTCTATCACATCCTCTTCTGGAGAGTTCCCTGAAACCATGGAGAGCAATGCTGGAGATGGTGCCAAGGCTGAGATGTCAGGGACATCTTGATGACATTTTCCACCCACCACGAGCTGGGGCTTTCTGGGAAGAGCCTCAGTTTCTGATGAGAAACATTCTTGAAGTCATCAGGAAGGGAGAAACAGAGCCTCGACATCCAGCAAGTAGAGTTCTGGGTTCCGCATATGGTGCTCAAGAGCCAAAGAGTCTGGAAAAGTCAGAGGGTAGAATAGCCATGAGGATGTGAATGTGATCACTACAAAAGCCCAGGCACACAGTGCAGTGAGGTGATGCCCGCCTGTCACCCCTCACTCAAGAGGCCAAGACAGGCAGACCACAAACTCAAGGTCAGCCCAGGCTACAGAGCAAGACCCTGTCTCAAATGCATGTACATATTGTTAGGGATGATTTTCCATGACTGTCACCTAGATTAATTTATATCACTTTCTCAGTTTAAAAGTAACTGTTAGGCTGGTGAGACGGCTCAGTGGGTAAAGGAGCTTGCTGCTAAGCCAGACAACATGAGTTCAATCCCTCTGACCAACATAGTGGAAGAAGAGAACCAACTCCCACAAGTGGTCCTCCGACCTCCACAATTGCACTGTGGAACATTTGTGCCCCTACACATACACACATGCACATACAAAAATAGATTAAAAATTTAATTTTTTTTTTTTGTCTTTTTGAGATAGGGTCTCCCTGTAGCCCCAGCCCTCCTGGAACTATGTAGACCAGGCTGGCCTCGAACTCACAGAGATCTGCCTGCCTCTGCCTCCTGAGTGCTGGGATTAAAGGCGTGCGCCACCACACCTGGCTTAAAAATTTAATATTTTTTAAATTAAAGAAATAACTGTGGAGCTTGAGAGGTGACTTAATGGGTAAAGGTGCGTGTTACCAAGCCTGAGTTTGATGCCCTGAACCCACATATTGTAAGGAAAGAACCAACTCCAGCAAGTTGTCCTCTGACACATGCATGCCATGGCACATAGGTGCATGCAAATGTATAGTCACACAAAATAAATGTTAAAAAAAAAAATCTTGCTATAAAAATGGTGTATTAAAAATAAGAAGTAACTGTTACCAGGTATGGTGGCTCATACTTGTAATCACAGCAAGAGGCCAAGGCAGGAGAGTTCAAGTTTGAGACCAGTTTGGGCTACATAGTGAGTTTCAGGCCAGTCTGGGTTATAAAATCCTGGCACAAGAAAATGAATCAAATACACAGACACCTAAGTAAACTAAAAGTAACTGCTGGTTATATATCATACCTGGTTTATACCCTTGGGTTCTGAATCTATGGATTCAGCCAACCTCAGACTGAAAATACTGAGTAAGGGAAACTGCACAGCTCAGACTTGTAAACTCAAACTCAAAGGCAATGAGGCAGGACTGGCACAGGCTTGAGGCCAGCCCGAGCTACAAAGTGAGTGCAAGGCCAGTCTGGGCTACAGAGACCCTGTCTCGAAGAAGAAGGGGGCTGGGGAGAGAGCTCAGTTGCCTGCCTTTCAGAATAGTTCGACCCCTGGGGCCCATGTAAAAAGCCAGGTAAGGCAACGTGTGCTTGTGATCCCAGTCCTGGGGAAGCAGAGCCAGTAGGATCTCTGGGGCTCACTGGCCAGTCAGCCTAGCCTACTCAGCAAGTTCCAGACCAGTGAGAGATCCTGCCTCAAAAGAAAGACAGTGGGTGATCCCTGAGGAAGCATGCCTGAGGTTATCTTCCTGCTTCCACATGCACACACACACAAAATGAGAAAAATAAAAGAGGGGCTGGAGAGATGGCTCAGTGGTTAAGAACACTGACTGTTCTTGCAGAAGACCCGGGTTCAAATCCCAGCACCGACATGGCAGCTCACAACTGTCTGTAACTCCAGTTCCAGGGGATCTGACAGTCTCTTCTGTCCTGAGGGCACTGCATGACACAGGTGCACTTATCTACATGCAGGCAATACACACATACACAGAAAATAAAAACAATAAAAAATATTTTAAAAAATTAAAAAAAGAAAGAAGGAAAGAAGGAAGGAAAGAATAAGGGCTGGGGTAACCTCAGTCAGTACTGGGTTCCATTCTCAGTACATTAAACTCAGCATGGTGTCATATGCCAATTCAGGCACTCAGGAGGTAGAGAGGATGATCAGAAGTTCAAGGTTATCCTTGTGTATATAGCAAGTTGCAGGCCAGCCTGGGCTACATGCAATCATTTCTCAAAAAAACAAGACTGGGGAGGTAAGAGTGCTTGCTGTGCAATTCTGAGAACCTGTGTTCCAATCTTCCAAGCCAAACTGTGCCATCTTTAGGAGTTCAGCTGTGCCCACTTGCAAAGATCATTGAAGCTGGGCTTATTGACTGTTGACGTTCCCTCACAGGAGGGTTCCATGACCCTCACTCCATTATCCTGCCCCCCGCCCAATCAGTTGTCTTTAATTCTGCTCTAATTGCCTGTGGCCTAAGGGGGTCTGGGACCCTTAGTGGACATAGGCTGGGAAGGCTAGGGGAAAGAGACTCCACCTACACAGTCATGCAAGCCATCATCCATGCTGGGTGCGGACCTTCTGGTACAGTTGCTGTAGGGTCACCCATGCTCCTGCCTGCTCTGTAAGTAATTCTAATAAACTTACTGGTTCCCTTGGGTGAATTTGATGGAAGAAAACTTTGGTTTGTCATGAGGAAGGGTAGATATTATAGTCTCCCCACACTTAGGGCAAAAATTCTCCATATAACCTGGATTCTGGATCCACGGCACCTACGTAAAAATCTGGACATGGCCATGTACATGCCTGCAACCCCAGCTCTGTGGGAGACAGAGACACTCAATTTCCACCACCCTAGCTTGAAGTTGTAAGAGACCCTATTTCTTTTTTTGTTTTGTTTTTGAGGCAGGCCCTGTATAGCCCTGCCTGGCCTGGAACTCGCTATGTAGACCAGTCTGACCTTGAATTCACAGAGATCCCAGATCCCAGATCACTGCAGTTAAGGCATTCATTGCCACACCCAGCAAGAAACCGTATTTCAAAGGAATAAGGCAGGCAGTGATCAAGCAGGACACCTGACATCCTCCTCTGGCCTTTGTGGGTCACATACCTGCACATGTACCACACACATGCACAGATGCACATACACCCACACAACACCCGAAAAAAATTTTTTTAAAGATAAATCACAGCTATAAGCACAGGCTTTCACTGGCTCTTGTTTCAGGGTTCCCTGAACAAGAGTGTAACAATTATTCCCACAACACTAAAGCTGTGTCAGGTGCTGTAGGTCAGCAGAGGCCTGAGGTCTGGAAGGGTGTGGCTGGGACCTAGGCAGAAGCTACACTGTCTTCTCTCCCTAGTGCTGAGAGCAGAGCATGCATACTCTGGCCTTTTACATGGGCTCCAGGGATCCACACTCAGGTTCTTATGCTTGTGCGGGAAGTACTTAACTGACTGATCTTCCCAGCCCAGCACCAGAACTTTCTCTATTACCTTTGTAACACCTTTGTAAGTCTAAACTTACTCCAAAAGCAAAAATATGATGGCACATACTTTTGGGAGGCAGAAGCAGGTGGATCTCTGAGAAATTGAGGCCAGCCTAATCTACATAGTGAGTTCTAGGTCAGCTGCAGCTATAGGGAGACCCTGTCTCAAAAAAAAGGCATAGGTGAGATGAATTGACACCTGCAAGGGGGTGAACTCAGAACCCTACCTCACACCATCTATCCATCTATTAAAACTAAATGTTCGCACATACCCGTATCCCAGGACCCATGAGTCTGAGGCAGGGGATCATAAGTTTAAGAACAGCCTGGCATACACAGCCAAACTGTCTCAAAAAACAAAGAAGGTGGCTAATAGTGAGTACGTATCTGCAGGCTTCTGGCAAGGCAGGGAAGCCACCACCCAGGACAGATTCAGCACAGCAGCAGGGGGAGGAGACACAGCCTCAGGCCAAGGGCAGGTTCTAGGCCAGCAGGGACCAGGAGACCACACTCCAACCCCCTCTGTAACCAGACTAGCAGAACCCAGTTCAAAGCCCATGGACCCCCATGTCCTCATGTGTTTGGAGAGTTCTTGTTTTAGAAGCAGGACTGGTCCTTGAGAGTAAAATGGGGGCTGTCAAAATGGCAGATTGAGACCTTGATACCAAACCTGATGATCTGAATTTGATCCCCAGTACCCAGGTGATAGAAGGAGAGAACCAACTCTTGATAGTTGTCCTCTGGCCAGGCGTGGCAGAGTACCCCTTTAATCCCAGCACTTGGGAGGCAGAGGCAGACAGATCTCTGTGAGTTCGAGACCAAGCATAAGAACCTGAGTCTGGATCCCTGGAACCCATGTAAAAAGCTATGTGGTCTACATAGCAAGTTCCAGGCTAGCTGGGGCCTGGGGAGACCCTGTCTCCAAAAAGACCAAAAAAAAAAAAAAAAAAAAAAAAAAAAAAAAAATGTCCTCTGACCTCCATATACTGGGACACAGGGACACACACACACACACACACACAAAACCCACTAAAAAGAGCCCACCATATGGGTCTGCGAGATGCCAGGTAGGGTGGACTCACACGATCATGCAGAACATCATGAACACATTCCACAGGGCAATGAAGATCCGGAAGTACCTCAGGCTCAGCAAGAACTCCCGGATGTTGTCACCTGGAAAGTCAAAGAGCACCTTTACCACTTAGCTAACATGCCAACTGTCATAATGCCCTGCTGCCCTCCACACTTGGGCTGTGGTAGCCATCACCAATCACCTGGGAATACCTACAAAGCTTCGGACACCAGGCAAGGCACGTGACCCGTCTCACTGCTTTCCTAATGTTTTAAACTTTTTTTTTAATTTGTATTTTATGAGTGTTTTCTCTACATGTATGTAAGTGCACATGTACATGCAATGCCCAAGGAGGTTAGAAGAGGATGTCAGGTCCCCAGAAACTGGAGTTTCAGATGGCTATTAGCTGCCATGTCCATGTGGGTGCTGAGAACTGAAGCAGTCCTCTACAGGAGCAGTCAATGCTCTTATTAAACGCTGAGCCATCTCTCCAGAACCCCTGCCCTTTTTTTTGAGACAGGGTCTCACGTAGCCTAGACGGGTCTTGAGCTCACCATGTAGGCCGAGATCTTCCTGCCTCTCCATGATGCTGGGTTTGCTGGTATGAGTACTACACTTGACTCACCTGTCCTTTCTCGTGGCCTGGGAACTGACAATAAATTCACATTCTCAAATGTGGGGAAAAGACCCAAAGTATATTTTGGAGACACAAAATGATGTCAAAGCCTGCTGTGATGACCTGCTGTGATCCTAGCACCTAGGAGGCTGAGGCAGGAGGATTGCTAAGCTCAAGGATAACCTGAACTACATGAGACCCTGTCTCAAAAGACCAAATGGAAAATACCAGTACAGAGGCTTCTAGAACCTGCTTCCAGGTCTCAAGTCAATCACCCTTCTTGTTATGACTCGAGAAAGAAGAGAACTGGTGACTGGGCATCTACAGGGGCAGTGGGGGACAGCTGCAGGGCAGTACCCACAGAGCAGCGTTCACAGAGCAGCAGAGGAACAGCACCCACGACAGGTGGGGGCTGCCCCTGAGCACCTGGCAGGGGGCACAAGCTCAGAATCCTTCGAGTCTCCCGCCATCCTTACTGTGCGAAAGTCTTGGACCTGTGTTTCCGTCACTGAGCACGGTTCAGCAGAGCCTGGTGGTACCCACTGCACTGACTTAGCTGCTGGCAGCACCTTCTGTGTACAGTGTCACTTGTGCACAGTGCGGCAGCAATAGGGACCAGAGACCTCAGGAGACAAGTCTGTCCCCAGAGTGTTTAAGAAGTACTGCTGGGGGGCTGGAGGGATGACTCAATGGTTAAGAGCACTGGTTGCTCTTGAAGAGGACCTGGGTTCGATTCCAAGCACCTGTATGGCAGCTAACAGCCATCTGTAACTCCAGTTCCAGAGATCTGACGCCCTCTTCTGACCTCCACTGGCACTGCATGACATGGGTGTACTTACATACATGCAGGCATAACAGTCATACGCATAAAATAAAAATAATAAATTAATTAAAGAAGAACTGCTGGACAAAACAGCTTCTCCCTGGCTGTCAAGATGGCTCAGGGGGTAAAGGCATATGTGGCCAAGCCCAACAACCTGAGTTCAATCTCCAGGACCCACATGGCATAAGGAGAGAACTCCTACAAGTTGTTCGACTTCCCCAAGTGCGCCCCACACAGAAAATAAATGTTTTTCAAAAGTCATTAAAAAAACAAAAACAAAAACAAAAACAAGCTGAGGGTTGGTGGCTCATGCCTTTAATACCAGCACTTGGGAGGCAGAGGCAGGAGGCTCTCTGTAAGACTGAGTTCCAGGCCAGCTGGAGCTACAGGGAGACCCTGTCACACACACACACACAAAAAACCTGGGAGCTGGAGAGATGACTCAGTGGTTAAGAGCACTGGCTGCTATTGTAGAGGACCTGGGTTCAGTTCCTAGCACTCACATGGTGGTTAATAACCACCCTTAACTTCAGTTCCAGGGAAATCCAATGCCTTCTTCTGACCTCCGCAGACACTGTATAACATAGGTGCATTTGCATGCATGTAGGCAATACACTCATACACACAAAAAAATAATATTAAAAAAAAAAAAACGGTCTGGAGAGATGGCTCAGGTTAAGAACACTGGTTGTTCTTGCAGAAAACCCAGGTTCAAATCCCAGCACCCACATGGCAGCTAACAACTGTCTGTAACTTAACTCCAGTCCCAGGGGATCTGACAGCCTCTTCTGACCTCCATGGACATTGCATGACACGGATACGCTGACCTACGTGCAGGCAACACACACATACACATAAAATAAAAATAAAAATTAAAAACAAACAAACAAACAAACAAAACAAAAAACCCACAAAAAATGCAGCACTGGGGCCCATAAGATGGTTTGGTGGGTAAGAATGCTTGTCACCAAGCCTGATGACCTGAGTCGGATCCCCAGTACCACATGGCAGAATAGAGAACTGACTTCTATAGTTGTTCTCTGGCTTCCACATGCTCACTCACCATGGCACATGGACACCCATACACATATATATGCACAGGCACTCACACACACATACAGGCACTCACAAATGAATGTAAAATGCAGTCACTGGGGCACAGAGCCAGCCAGCCAGGGAAAGGCAGAATCCCGGAGTCCTGGCAGGAAAGGGCCCAAGAATAGAATGCTGGGAAAAGGAAAATCCAGGCAGAAGCTCCTGACAGGACTCATGTGCCCTTCATGTCACGGCTGGTAATCACAGTCCAGCTATTTCTGAGCTTTTATATCTAATCTCCCACTCATCACAGCTCCAATTCAGATCAGCAAAGCACAGTCACAGGACCCGGCACAGTGCCGTCCATGGAAAGATGGCAAAGATGCAGCTGTGAGTGGATGGATGGGTGGATGGATATATATGGTGGATGAACAGGTGGATGGGGAGATGGATGGATGGATGGATGGGCAGATGGGTAGGTGGGTGGATGGATGGATGGATGGATGGATGGATGAATGGTCAGTTTAGTGATTGAGAGTACAACTCCTAGGGTTAGAAAAACCCAGTTTCAGGCTGGGGCTATAACTCAGCAAAAGCCTTGTCCTACATGCAGGGAACCTTGAGTTCTATCTCCAGGACCTTATAAACCAGGAGTGGTGGCACATGCTTGTAATCCCAGTACTCGGGACGTAAAGGCAGGAGATCAAGAGTTTAAGGTTATTCTAAGCTACATAGTAGACTGAGGCCATCCTGGGATTTAAAAAAAAGAAAAAGAAAACCCAATTTCCAATCCTGACTCTCTTACACTGATTTGCTGTATAGGCAGGGATCTGCTGGATGGTCTCCCAAACCTTTGCTTCTGGGAACTCCTCATACTTCACATAATGTTCCATCATGGCATCCATGCCCCCAAAGGGCCTTGTGCCACACTGCCAGCTGCAGCTGCAGCCCCATCAGCATCCTGTCCCATGACTATGTCAATACTAACCTCTTATTACCCCCTCTTTCCCTGTGTGTCCCTTAAGAACCTCTGAACTACCCAATGGTAAGCTCAAGGCAAGGGCTACATCTTTTCCCCCCACACTGCCAAAGCACTCAGCTTAATGGTCAGCAATACAGTAGGTGCTCAATAAATGTCTGATAATTGGGGCATGGTGGTGCACTCCTGTCAGTTCAAGGCTTAGGAGGTGAAGCAGGGGATCTGGAGTTAAAGGCCAGTCTGGGGTACATAAGGCCATATCTCAACTAAAATGAAAGGTACAAGATAGCACAGGTGCAATAGAACAGTTGTGTTTGAAGTGCACTAAGCAAGTACAATCTAGGAAGAAGCCCTTACCTGTGCTGGGCTCCCTGGACTCCTCGCCAAAGCCTTGTGCGTCCTTCTTTTTCCTACAAAGAATAGCAGGCAATGTTCAATTTCCACGAAACATAAACGATACTGCGATGCTGACGCCCATCTCAGAAGGCCATGAACACAAAGCCTCAGCTATAGCCTGCCGCTCACTTTCTGTATGGCTTGGGGCAGTCTCTGGGGTATTCCCTGCCTAGTCAAGCTGGCCGGGAGGTACAGAGAGGGTGAACAGAATGCAGGGTGAACAGTGGCCAGAAAACGACTGTTTCTTCAGAGATGAGCCTGAGGCTCTATGGGGATGGGGGAAGAACACCCTGGAAATGGAGAATACAGATTTTCTTTTTACATTTATTTCTTTGTGGGGTGGGGGGTATGGGTGTGCCATGCTACAGAATGTATGTGGTGATCACGGGACAACCCACAAGACTCGGTTCGCCTTCCAGCATGTAGGCTCTGGGAATCGAACTTAGGTCGTTGGGCTTGGCAGCAAGTGCCTTTCTTTACCCACGGAGCCACTTCGCCGGGGCCGGAGGGGGTGGGTCAAGCGTCAAAGCTTGACCAGTAGGGTAGAGTCGTGGCCAGAGGCGGGACTGGGCAGTGGCTTGGGCGTGGCCACCCCACAGGGTGGGGGTGGGGCCCGGCCTCCAGCGGGGCAGCCGCCGCCGGGTGCGGCCTACTCACAGTTTAAAGTTGAGCACGGCCCCGGCGTTCATCAGCAGCGTCCTGCGGAGAGACAGTTACAGTCACTACGGCCAACCCGTGTCCCATCGGGCTGTCACCGTCCTGCCCCTGAAACGCCACCCCACACTCTTAATTACCCGAACAGCAGAAGGTCCCCGATCATCCTCACAGCCTTCGCGGCCGCCAGAACCGGAAACGGAAGTGGTGCTAAGGGGCGGGAAAAGGAACGCAAGCCGACCAATCCTGAACCAACGCTGGCGATGGCGCCTCCTCGCTGGGGCCGCTAGGCGACTAGGAGACGGAAGTCGTGGCGTGACGTCACCAGGGAACGGCTGTCTGTGGCGGAGCGTGAGGTTCAGCTCAGCCGCCTCCTCCGTGCGGGCGCTTCTGGCTGCTGCTCTGCTATTGCTGCTTTGCTACTGCTGCTCTGCTGCTACTGCTGCTGCTGGCGCCGCTGGAATCTCAGTGGAGCTTCTGCAGAAACGCCGTCCTCTACCCCTAAGCTGTCCCGGGACCGGGTGCTGGCGCCATTGGGTTCCCAGGGTTCGGGCGCTGCAGCTGACTGGACCTCAAAAGGGGTTCCTACTGGACCCCCACGGAGGGCCGGGGTTCCCTCTCTGAGGGCACTCTCGTGTGGATCAGGGGTTCCCCACCGGATGATCCACCCACGGGCATCCCAGTTCTGGTTTGTGGGACTCAGTGGAGAGTGAGGGTCCTGGTAGAACAGACCCTATGTGAAATGAGGGTCTTAGCTGGGTCCACAGAGATTGAGGGTCCTAAGTTGTGGGGCGTCACGGAGGGTTAGGGTCCCCACTGAACCGACCCTAGGGGTATGAGAGTGACATGAGGGTCTGAGCTACAGTTCTGACTTGTGGGGTTCCACGGAGGGTGAAGGTCCCACTGAACCGACACTGTGGGACATGAGGATCTTAGCTGGAGTTCACAGAGGATGGGGGTCCTGACTTGTAGGACGCCACGGAGGGTGAGGGTCTTGACCTGACGAACCCTGTAGTATATGAAGATCAGGCCTGGGGTTCACAGACGACTCAGGTCCTGACTTACGGAGCCCCTTGGAGAGACGAGATCCTCAGCGAACAGACCCAATAGAACATGAGGGTCTTGGCTGAGGTCCCCTTGTAGGCTGCGGGGTTCTGACTTTTTCCTTAGAGACAGGGTCCTCACCAAATGGGCAGCATAGGATTTGAAGTTCTTGACTGAGGACCACAGAAGGCGGGGGTCCTGATTGATGGGGGGGGGGTCTCGTGGAGAAAGGGGTCCAGGGAGAAGGGACAGGATCCTAATTGACGCAGCCGGGAGTCCCGGGACAGGCTCAGGTGTGTTGGATGCAAGGGGAGAAGTCCTATCCCCCGGGCCGGGCCGGGGGGCGGTGCCTGGCTGCGGAAGGCGGTGCCTGGCGGCGGGTGGGGCGGTGCGCAGTTGCCCGGCGGCTGACGGCCGGATGCACCCGAGCCGGGGGCCGGGGAAGCACCCGCGGAGCCATGGAGCTGCTGTCGGCGCTGAGTCTGGGCGAGCTGGCTCTCAGCTTCTCACGGGTGCAGCTCTTCCCGGTCTTCGACCTCAGCTACTTCATCGTCTCTATCATCTATCTGAAATATGAGCCAGGTGAGCCAGGGGGCTGGAGGGGTCACTTTGCGGGGGTGTGTCGCAGAAAAGGGGTTGCCCAAGCCTGGGTGATGGAGGCGAGGAGGGGGCAGGATAGATCCTGGGGCTGGATCGAAGGAGGAGGCGGAGGCTGAGACTTTGGGGTGCTCCCACGCGCGCAGGTGGAGGAGGGAAGCCCCCGCACGGCGGAGCTGGGGAAAGGCGCTCTAGACAGGGTGTGAAGGACGAGTTTGCTTACCGCGGGGGGCGAGGGGGGAGGTGCTGCGGGGTTGGGGTTGGGGACAGAGAGAAGATCAGGGATCTGGTTGGAGCAAGGCTACTTGAATTTGGGCAAGGAGATTAGATTATGGCGAAGGTGGGCCCTACCCCGGGGGGTCAGGTGTCCTGGCAGTCTGCAGTCATGACCTCTCTTCACACCCTTGGAGGGCAAGCAGGAGCAACTGCTGAGTGACTATATAAGGACTGGCCTTCCTGGGGTTTGCGATCAGGTTCCTGAAAGTGACACCCATATCTCCTCTGCAATGCATCTTTTGGCATTCTCCTCTCCCCTTCCTCTCCGGTCTGGAGTTGCCACCCTGGGGATGCTGCCAGCTTTGGCTTGGGATCCTTTCCACTTAGGGAGCCAAAACGGCTCATGGACTGTGTAACTTGGGGTCAGTCTGCTCTCGGGTCACAGGATGATAAGCCCTACTTTAATTTTTACATTTTTTTTATTTAAAAAATTCTTCTGGCCTCAAAGAGGCACTGCACACATACATGCAGGCAAAACACAGAAAATATAAATAAATAAATTTTTGAAAAAGGAGTTAGTAAGCTGGGTATGGTGGTGCACACCTTTACACGTGTGTGTGTGTGTGTGTATAGGTCAAAGGATGACTTGCAGGAGTCCTCTCTTTCCACCATATGGGTCTGTAGGGTCTAACTCTGGTCATTAGGCTTAGCAACAAGCTCCTTTATCAACTGAAGCCATCTCCATGGCCCTTGATTTTTTTGTTTAATAATTTATTTTAGTGAGAACAAGTGTGGCTCGTTCCTGTGACCTTTGAGAGCTTGATGCAGGGGGATCGCAGCTAGTTTGAGGAAAGCCAGGGCTAGTGAGTGCTCTGACACCTTGGGTACAGATGATTTTTTAAAAAAGGAAAATGTCCTCCCTAGA